TTCCATCATGTTTGCTTGGGATTCTAGAATTTAAGCCTTCATTACCAAGAAGGCAAGTTTGTCCTTGAATCCCACAGCCCCCAGGGCAGAAATCCAACGTGAGGACATAAGCTAGGCTCAGGAGCATGAACCGCCAGTCTCCTAGGAACACCCAAACTTCGGCCGGCACTGAGTCCCTCCCACACTCCTCCCACCACAGCCCAGGTTCCACCCAGGCCCTCCTCTCTACCAGCACTGCTCCTGGCACAGACTTTCAGAGGACTCTTTAGGCTCCAAAGGGGCACAGTTTACCCAATCCAACCACCCACTGGAGAAAGGGGTGCTCTCAGGCCCAGGGTAGCAGAGCTGAGATTAAAAAAAAGCAATTCTTTCCACCCAGCACCTTCCCCTCCAGTTCTCCTGGGCAGCAAACATAAGGGGTCCCGCTAGAGGGCAATTTCAAAATTTCCCAAACCATGTCAAAAGGAGGGGGCAGCACATTCAGTGGGTGAGAAGTCACCTGCGCTCGGCCCTCTGTCCAGGGACAGTTAGGGCTACTTAAGGCTCAAGCACTGAAAACAGGACGATTCATCCCCATCTCCCAAGCAAAATTCTAAATTAAAAAATCACTATGACACAAAAAAGGTCTAGTCCCCTAAAATTCTGATTTTTCCCATCTGATGATTATTCTCAGCACGTTTCTTGGAACATCTTTTTTTTTTTTTTTTATTCTTCCTATCTCTTTGTCCTGATAGAGTGTGCTGAGCTTGCCCGCTGGGTGCCAGCCAGCGAGGGAGCGAGCCTGCAGTGGCTGCGGCAGTTCAAATGCCTTTCCTGGGATCTTCCATGAAATGTGCTCAGCATCCAGCAGAGGAGTCTTTGGGCTTTCCAGGCTGGCTGTACTGCACAGCAGATGTGCAGGACAGCCACATCTGCGAGTCAGGGTTCTTTTAAGGACTGCTGGCAAATCCAGACCCATCCAACTCCTGGGCTACAGCTCAGGCTTGTTGGCTCCAGATGTGGGAGGCTGCACCCCAAAGGCTGGGGCCCTGTTCCTGCTGCCCCAAAGGCCAGCTGTGAGATCCTAAGAGAAGCCCATCCATCTCCTCAGGAGTTCAGTCTCAGCTACAAACCGAGGCCTCCCAATATGCCTCACACACTTCAAGGACTGGGGTAAAAGCCACAGTGGACAGTGAAGAACTGAGCCTCTCTTTACCCACAGATGTCACCCCAGCCTCTTCCTGCGCCAGTGCCTGGCACAGAGGTGGTAGAAAATCAAAACCAAAAGAACTAACTTTGACCAGCAAGCACTTCCAGGACATCACCCTGCCTTCTGATTATGAAGCTGCTGCACACGGTGGATTAAGTAACTTAGCCAAAGCCATATGCTAGCAAACTACTGAATCAACCTGAGAACGCGCCAGACCCACAAGCCTGAGGCCTCCACTGTGCAACAAGGATACCCAAGTAGTTTTAAAAGAAAAGAGCCCAGGGGATAAGGACAAACCATCAAAAAGCCACGGGGTTGTTCCTGGAACTGCACATACATTTTCTCATATAAGCTTTGCCACACCCTTCCAAGGCAGGTATCAAGCCCTTATTTCACAAGGGAAGAAACTGGGCACAGAAAAGTCACTGGTAAAGGCCACCCAGTTGGCAGTAGAGTTAGGATTGGAGCCTCTATACACCTTCCTGGTCTTCATTGGGCTGCTTCCAAAGAAAAACTCTTCTTGGAAACCAAAATGATCCTTCCCTTCAGAGACAACTCTCTTTCAGGGACTTATCAGAGATTAAAGCACTGTGCTTTTGTGTAGAAGAACTCAGACTGCCCAAATATTTACCAGCCCGCACAGAGAGCCGCAAACCAGCCTGGCAGGGGAATCAATTCCACAAAGCAGTGACGGCCAAGCTGTTGCTAGACAAACTGGATGATCAAATCCTCGCCACCCGGGATAGTTCAGACAGCTCAACTTCGGGCAGGGACACTGAAGGAGACCCCATGAAGCAGGTCTAGGCCCAACCGGGTGGCCCCACCGAGGCCCAGGAGGCATTTCTAAGTACACATCAGCACTGCCAAAGTTGTTAGGGTTAGGGGCAAATGGGAGAAGACCACTTATCCCAATATATCCTTTGTAGTTCCAATCCTGCTGCGAAAAATTGATCTCCAATCTTTAATAGGTGGGGGTTTTATTTAAAAGAAAAGCTAGAAGGGGAAGTTAATTATTCACCAGGTTGCCATTTACTTAAGAGTTGAGGGAATGTGAATTTCCTCCCAGTAGGCAGAACCTGGAGTCCAGTGTGGGTCTCCCTGGGGGTCTGGCTAAAATCCTTCCCCTCCCACCAGCTTTTCCACCTCCCATTTAGCTGCTTCCTGAAAAAGGCTCTGGGGCAAACAAACCTGACAGTCCAGCTACTTTCCTACTCATCTTGGAAGGATGGGGGTGGGGGTGGGCCGGAAAGAGACATTTGTTGCAGGACACTAAGAATTCAAAAGGGACAGCAAAATCACAAAGCTGTCAGCTGAAACACAAATCCTAAATGAATCCACTTCAATCAAACCAAGAATTGGCTTCTGGAGACCAGGCCATCTCAGCCCACTGCCTAGCTGATTTCAATCACATTTTGCAAAAGAAAAAAAAAAAAAAAAATCCAAACAAAGCTGACCATGGTGGCACACGCCTATAATCTCAACCCTGGGGGCGCTGAGGCAGAAGGATCACTGAGAGTTTGAAGCCAACTTAGGCTACACAGTGAGTTCAAGGCCAGCCTGGACTACACAGCGAGACCCCACCTCAAAAACAACAAAAATCCAAGAAAAAAAAAAAAAAAAAACCTAATCATTCACTTCCCTCAAAGAGATGCTGTATCACAGGCATTTCCTAAAAATCCCTAAAGCCCTGGTCAGGCATACGAAAGCATGGCCTGAAGGAGGACTACAGGTCACTAAAACCAGGCCGGGTGTGCTCCTATCTCCTGGCTACTTTATTACCAGCATGCTTTGTCCTCCATCCCCAAGCCTGTCCCTTGCAGGATGGGTATAAAGGCATCCAACTTGGCATGCTTTTATTTTTTTTTCTCTAGCCCACTTTTGTAGACGCTTTATAACCACGAACTATTCTGGAGATTTATATTTCACTTACTTTCGATACTAATCCCCCAGGCTGGAAAAGTTAGTTCAAAGGAGGGAGAACTTTATTTTCCCAATCTGATTCAGTGCCCCAAAGAGAGCAGTTTTAATTAGGGGCAAGCCCTCCTATTAGAAGTGCTACCAATTCCACTCCCAGATGATAGTCTCAGAATTCAGAATTTGTAAAGAATCTCGATACCTATCCCATAAGCCAAAGAAACTTGTTTCTCCCCAAGTTCTGGTGGCATTTGTATATTCCACTAACCACAGCCTGCAGGACAGCGCTTGCACAGCTAAAATCAGCCAACAGCTTAACTCCTAGGCCCAATCTTGCCTTGAGTGAACCCAAAGCTCTCCTCACTCTCCTCTACACCTGCTCCTGACACAGTGAGCAGGTCACGTGGACTTAATGCCACCAAGCCTGGAGGAAAATGCCTCTTCTGGATTTTTGAGGCAGAGTCTCACTATGTAGTGCGGGCTGGCAGGCCTTGAAGTCACACATGCAGTTCAGGCTGGCCTCAAACTCAGTGCCCCTCCTGCCTCAGCCTCCCAAATGCTAGGATTACAGGCATGTACCACTAGGCCTAGTGGAAAATGCCTTTTTTATGGGTCTTTGCACGACTTCTCAAGAGGTGAGCCAACTTAACCAGGCTAGTTTCTCCCTTTTTCTACTCCATGCTTCTAGAAACCTCTCCTTCCCCCGACCCATGTCAAGAAGAAAGGGACCAGAGAGGTGCCCGATTTTGTCAATTTGCCCTTCACACAATTCAAGTCACCTCACTCCATGTTCTCAAATATTTTGCAAGGTGTCCCCTTGCAAAAACACAGTGCAAGACTGCCAAAACAATGCAAAATGATAAAAAAATAAATAAATAAAAATAAAAATCCCCATGTAAGTCAACTTTAGATTTCAGAAGTTGGTGGGGGATTTTCTTGGGGGCAGGGGAGTAGAATCAAACTTATGTGAGGAATTCAATTTAAGGAAGAATTTCATCATAAAACTTGAGTAGAGCTGCATGGGATACCAATGTTGCACGTGTCAAGAAACAAAAGACCAGCCAGTGGGATACACACCCACAAGGAAGACATGATTTTGTGGATCAGAGACTTACAGCTCCACAAGAGCTAAAGCGCCACAGCCAATCCCACCTCTTCCAAAGCAGGTCTAGAAATCAAACTGGTCCTCCCCACCCCCAAGCTCAAGGTTGCCGCCCAGGAAAGCCCTAAAGCCAGGCCATGATGGACGGATGGGGCTTGCCCATCCGGGAGTGAGCGGCTCTCTCCCCTCACCCCGTATCTCCCCAGCGAGGTCCACCTCCACTGGGACAGCAGAGCCCCTAAGAATGTGTGCCTCACACGTCCGAGCACACTGCCATTTCTCTTGCAACGCGCGCGACTTGCAACCCTTTACTCCGGTCCGGGCAAGTGCCGGAGTGCACACCCCCAAGGGTTGAGCCCCAGGAACCCGTGCTGGGGTGAGGTGAGCGCAGGAGACGCCGGTCCTGGGGGCCGAGGACTGGGACTTTGTAGGCCAGTTGAACCGACACCCTCATCTCGCCCGCAAAGACCCAGTCCTCAGCTCCCGTCCGCCTCGGAGTTCGGGGTGCGCTGCGTCCCCGTCGGGCTTCCTCAGGGCTGGGGCAGGCCGCCCGCTCTGGGCACGGCGCTCTGCTCCCCAAAACAGCGTCTCCCAGAAGGGTCACCTATCCCGACAGACCTCGGCCGGCGGCAGGCTCTGAAGCTTCCAGGCCACCCGGCCGCCCCGGCGCAGGCCGAAGGACAGCGCGCGGTGGGGGAGGTGCGGGGCCCGAGGCTGCCAGCCGCATCCCCGCCGGGCGCACGAGTTACGCGTCGAGAAACTTCATCGCGCTCCCGCGCCGCGCCGCCGCGTTACCTGCGCTCAGCTCGGAGGGGTGCGGGCCGGGTCGCAGGGCTGGGGCGCGGGCACCCCCACCCCGCCGCGAGCCACGCCCTCCGCAAGCAGAGTCCGCGCAGCCGCCAGGGCTCGGGTGGCTCAGCCTCAATTCAGGGCTCGGTGCCCCGACGTCCGAGCTAGCCCGCGCGTATCTGGCCCGGCTCCCCGGACTCGTTCGCTCTGCACCGAACCCGAGGGCCGCCGGTGCCCTGTCACCGAAGGGGCGCGGCCGGCCCAACAGGAACAAGAGCAGAGCAGCGAGACCCCTCAAAAAGTTGGGGGTTCAGCTCGCTCGCGCAGCCCGACCTGGCTCCACGTGCTGGTGACACATCAGGAAGGCTGCACCCCGCGGCTCTCGGCGGGCGGACGCAGCCAGCGCCCGCCGGCACCGCCTCCCAGAGCCAAGCGGACGGCGCCCCGCCCCGGCCCGCCCTCCGCCCGCCCCTCGGCGGCACCGCCCCCGGCCGCGACGCCCGCTGCAGCCTGCAGCACGGGAGGACACCGGCGGGGGCGGGGGTGTCTCTGGCGTCCTCTTCCCCTGCTGCCAGTGTTCCCCTGGGGACGGGGTCTGGACGTCGGCGGCCCGAGTCTCGAGTGCCTTCCTCCTAGTCACGCAGCCCTTCCCGCCCCCCAGCTTCAGTAATTTTCCCTTTTCCTCCTTTGACCCGTCCGAGCGGCTGCCAGTGCTTCCTCCGGCGGAGACCGGCTCCGGGAGCCCCCTGCCGGCCGCTCGGCGCCCAGGCCACGCCCCCTCCCGCGAGCGCACCTGCAGCCGGCCTGGACCCCGCGCTTCTTGCAGAGCGTTTGTAGCAAAACGAGGGGAAAATAAGCGCAAAGAGACACGCGTGATACCGAGCAGCTGGCATTCTTGAGATGTGTGTTTCCAGCTCCTGATGTCGTTTGCCTGCACGTGCTTTTTGAAATGCCAGTTCCGGGGGAGGGGGCAATTGAGGAAGAGTTCGAGGCCAAGGGGAAGCTTTCTCAAGACTGTAGAGAGGTGAGAAGCGGGGGGATTCCGTCTGGTGGGGACCTGCTGCCCCATTGTCTGGAGAAGGCAACACATACCTCACGTCGGAGACTGCGTATTTCAGCTGAGACCTCCTGGAGTGTAAATTACGCACGCCTCTGTCAAGATACCCAGCCTCCAGCCAGCCAGGACACCAGGAATTATGGAAGAGAATGATGGGGGAGCTCAATTAACCCCTGAGACTGAGTCTCCCCACTTTCAGGTGAAGCCTTGGAGTCTAATTTATAGAAAACACTAATATACAACTATTACTGGCCTGCTGTTTTCCTATTGACTGTTCTCTGGTCTCATAAACCTCAGTTATGTCTTACACCCTCACTGCAGTGGCAGCTGAGAGGTTTCTCTGCTCTAACTGCCGGCCCTCTGCACCCGCCACGGGATTCCTGGTAGGACGGATAGGTTGCAGGAGCAGGTGCTCACAAGAGAATGCGGCTCCGGGAGGGATGGAGAGCAGAAGCAACCGGTGCAGGAAAGGGCTTTGGCCCCAGCCTCTGTAATTCTCATTTTGTGGGGGCCCAGGATTAGAAGGAAAGAAAGAGAAAGATGCCTTGACGATTGGGGAGATACTGCAGGTGCTGGAGGGGGGCTAGCGCTCCTGTTCTTCTTTCTCTTCCCTTTTTATTGCTCTCTCCAAATCTGACAGACCCTTAGGATCTATGAGATTCAAGGAGTCTGGAGGGGCCGGTATCCTGGGGGGATAAAAGGGCTGGGATGTAATGGGTTTACCCAGGCACTGATCCCAGAGAAGCCCACAGAGATTAAGATTTGCTCCCTAGGCCTGAAACCTCGCCCCTACCCCCTGACCACATCAAAGGGTATGACAATGGGGGGCACCTAATCCTATCAATGGAATCAAAGCAGGACAAGAAAGGAAATTCTGCAAACTTGGGGCAGCCGCAGGACTCCGTGTACAAGAGAAAGGCGGATCCTAAGGTCCTGCACTTTCTCCTACATTCCTAGAAAATTCCCCAGCCAGTTCACAAGCAGTGAAGGGCTTGTTCTTTGCTTCCTGAGATAGCGGCTGTGGGACAGCCAAACACAAGAACACAGGGTGGGGCTGGGCCTGCCTCCAGGGACAGAAAGGGACCCAGAGGGGGTCTAGACTTGCCCAACATCACACAGCCTTGCAAAAGTAAAGACAAGTATTTGGTAAATAATGATACCAGTGATATTCTGACATAGCAAAATGGTGACAGTGGTATGCACATTACTAAAACTTACAAAAACTGTACCTAAGACAGGCTTCTCTTTTGTCCATTAAGTTCTTAATAATTGCATTCTTTGTTTAAAAAAATAAGCAACTCTAGTTATGTTCCTCTTTAGAAACATTGCCTTTGCCCACACAGTGGCTCACAGACTCTTGATCATGCTCCACGACAGGACCATGTGTGTGGTATGTAGATAATGTGTATCATACATATAGAAATTTGTGAAATAATGCTTAAGCACATAAATATATATTCTATGTGGTCCTATTCAGTTCCACTTTAAAATGCTACTTGCAAACTGGAACTGATTTCACTCCGCAAGGTTACCTTGTGCGGTCTGAGGGATGTGGCCCAGGAGGCGTGCCTGATGGCGATGATGTTGACAGCTCTCCGTGAAAAAAAATGTCAGATGCCAAGGCCCTGGCCTCCGAGCCGCTCCATCCCGTCTCAAGAGGCCTCTAGCACATATCTATTATTATTGTCCACATCGTACCAGTGACATGATTTGCCAGGGTCAGTAAGTACAGACCCGAGACCTGCCCCTCTGTACCCATCTCCTCCCGGGGCCAGTGCACTGGCCACCACTGCAGCTTGCCCCAGTGAGAGCTCACAGTAAAAGGCTTCAGTCTCTAGGGCATTCATGCCCTTTTGCCCTTTCCATCTCAGTCCACATTCAAGTCCGCCCACAACTGCTGCTTTTTTTGCCTCCATACACAACCCATACTGCACAGATATACAGGACCCAAGCTCCTTGGCAAGCCATCCTCCAGAGACAGAAGTGGGGTGAAGGTGTGTGTGCTAGCACGTGGAAGGGAACCTAGTGCCCCTGCTTCTGTGCTGTGCACACCCATCTCAATGGTCAGAGGAGACAGCAAGCTGGGACAAAAATCCCACAGAGTGGATTAAAGCGCCTGCAAGCAGGTGCAGGAGCTAGGGGATTCAATCCCGGGTCCTGCTGTGCTGGCTCCAAGCCCCACCCCCAGCCCCCGGGGCGTGCTGAGATGGCAGTTGAAACTGGGCGGGTTGGTGCATGCCTGTAATCCCAGCTCTAGGAAGGCTGTAAACAGGAGAATCACTATGAATCCGATCTAGTAGTGAGACTCAGCAAGGTTACCTTGTGCAGTGAACACCCTGTAGACCCTTCCCTAGAATACAGAAAGAAAAAAAATCCCGCAGAGCTGATTTTACAAGAGTAAAGACAAGTATTTGGTAAATAATGATACCAGTGTTATTCTGACATAGCAAAATGGTGACAGTGGTATGCATATTACTAAAACTTACAAAACTGTACCTAAAAAAAAAAACAAAAAAACTGTACCTAAGACAGGCTTCTCTTTTGTCCATTAAGTTCTTAATAATTGCATTCTTTGTTTAAAAAAGAAACACTTGAACTCCCTGCTGGTTGCCCTCGTTCTGAGTTTTTCTAGGCCCTCCCTGGCCTCCCTATTTTAAATTGCAGCCCCTGTCCCATCACTTCTTACCTGTTAGCCTTCCACTTTTTTCAATTCCATGGCCCTTGTCCCCTCTCACTCACCATGTAATTCACTCATTTTGTTTTTGTTTTTGTTATATCATTTTTATTAGGACCAAATTAGCTGTGGGAATTTACATTTCCCTGGTACTTGTACTGTTACAGAAGAGGCTATAAGCTTTTTTGGGGGCATAGTCTGTCTTTCCACTGCTTATTTTTGCCTTCCTCCAGATTCTAAATCCACAGGCGCCGAGTTTTTGTGCCTGACATAGAGCGCAGTCAGTAACTATCTCCTGAGTGTTTCAGGCCTGCATAGCCTCCCCTGAGAATGTAGCTCTGACGTGTGTAGATTGTACCAGTTTCCTCTCAGAGGATAACCACATTCCCCACAGGCCAGAGGGCAGGTCTTCATTGTGGCTTGCAGCGCCTGCACCCAGCTAGGTATTTAATAGGCCTGTGTTGCCATTGTCTGCCAACAGCTCTGGCAGTATCCAAGTTGCCATGAAGGGGCAGTGCAGGAACGGGAGCCCCCATGTTCCGGATGTAGATCCTAGGCTTGAGGAGGTGAAGTGATTTACCCCGGGTCACTCCGTACTGATTTCTTTCCACTGAGTTTGCTTTTCTGGATGGTCCAGTCCATCAGATGCCACCTCTGAGGTGGCATCAATAAAATCGTGCTGGGTTCTTTTTAGCTTTTTACCATCTGCCAGAGAGCGTTGGCAGAAGACACAGGAATCTCTCTCTCCAGAGCTACAGTTTTTTGTATTTTGCCTGTGGTATTCTTGGGGTTCATTTTCTCTGCATATTTGGTCACTTGGAAATTTACATAGATTTTCATTCTCTCTGCCCATATAGTCTGGACAGAGAAAGTCTCAGAGCCTAGGGGCAATACAAGATTGGAGTGAACACTTTACCGCAGAAAGACCATACTGGGATTTCCAGTTTTGCCAGGAGTCAGGACCTGCTTTAGTCCCTCGCTTCCCGTGCAGTCTCTTACCTCTATGACTTCCTCCAGCTTGACTGTTCCATAACTGCAGGAAGAAAAGTGGTGATTGACTGATCAACTGATTGATTTTGCTGACTTCATTCTCTCAACCAACATATGAAAAGAGCCCCTTTGTCCACCAGGTCCCTTGAGAAGATATGGTCTTTGCCCTCAGGAAACAGCAGAGGGACAACTTCTCTACTCAGGAGTCAGTTCTGTGCCTGTGTGTATGGCATCATGGTTCCATGATGTCACTGCTGTGCTTCACATGGGCTTTGATTCTCCTGGACAATGGGTCAGTGGTGTGCAGTGTGCAGAGGAGGGCAGACAGTCCTGGGAAGTAAGTGACACAGCTGACCCAGGTGTGACCTTCTCACTCCAGGGTTCTTGAAAGGCTTGGCCAGAGCCCTCTAAGTCTTATCTTGCCCTCACCTTCTGTCTTCCTTTCCCTTCACTGAGGCCAACACCTGCCAGTCAGCTAAATGGAGGGAGGTTTATTTTGGCTCACAACTTATAGAGGTTTTAGCCCATAGTCAGCTGGCTCCAAGGCAGCACGGCCAGGCAGAGGGGCAACAGTTCCTGGCGCAGCAGAAGAGAACGAGCTCAGGCCTTGGCAGTGAGAAGAAGGGAGAGATCAAGGGAGAAGAAAGGAAGACAGAG